CACACACACAGAGACAGACAGAGTGCGTCAGTATGACCTCATAATATTTCATGCCTCAATCAATATCCATCAATAAGTTGTGGTAATCTTCTCGGGGGAGAAATGAGAATCGATGGGAGGCCTTGTATGACTCTTCCATCCACCCCTGCAGTCTGTCTTGTATGTATTGACTGGCTGTATTTATAGCAGGACTGAAGCTGTAACGGCCTCACACTGTACGCTGTATGAGGGTGACTGTGTTGACTTTAAAAGGTGACTCAGGCTTTGATTGTGAGACTGGCTGGAAACGCTGAGTGCAGCCTCTGATGAGGCTCGGAACTGGCTGCTCGCCGGGGCCCATCCTTAAGAGGAAGTGGTGAGGTGTGAGAAGTGTTAAAGGAAGGCTGATATTAGATGTTCTGGAGGCTAATACGGGCAGGTCGCAGCCGCGTAACGCGTCACCGCTGAGGTCAAAATCCCATCAACTCTCGATTCTCTGGGGGGGGGATGACCTGACCGGCTGGCGACAGGCTGAGTAATCCAATCTTTGTGTTTCGGGACGGACTGACTGGGGCTGGAGTTTAATTTGGCGAGGCGGAGGTCACCCTACCGTTCATGAGGTCCAGGATGAAGCAGAGCTTGTCGGGGGTGTGGAAGGCGTACGTCATACACACGATGAACGGGCAGTCCTACAGAGAGACAGAATCAGATCAGAAACTGACCTCTGCAGCAAAAAATAAAGGTACATTTCAAAGTAAAAGTAAAGCTGTGAGTATAAAAAGTAACTATCAGATAAATGTAGGGGAGAACAGGGTTGTCACATTCATTAGATCTCGCTCCCTAGAGGGCGCCGTTATAAAATGTCGGTCCTGAATTTTTAAGATTGAGGGTCAGAGGTCACCTACAGGAGTATCGGGCATTGTGGTTTAAGACTTTCAGTGTTTTTTATGTCAGAATGTAAATCTTTAGCTCTTCTGTGTTTCTCTTAAAGGCTTTTACACAGTGAGTTTATAATCAAAGTATTGTTACCATTAAACAGCACAAAGGGAGAGCTTACAGTTTAGGATCTAGCTCAAACACAGGTGAGATTTTAATGGTAGTTTTAAGAATTGTAGTCAAGAGTCAAGTCAATACAAGAACATTTGATTTGGCTTGTTTCTAGAAGGACTTATTTTGAAGGCCCCAGAGCCTTTATGCTAGAAAAAAAACACACTATATGGACACAGATCATAAAGAATACAGTTTTTAAGGAACTCAAATTAAAGTAAAAAGTGTGACGACCGACCCCGTTCTCCTCTAATAAAGTGTCAAAACTTTCACTGAAGTGCAGTTTTTCATTGAATCTTCTGTTACTTTCTTCTAGCGGACTTTAAGAAAGGAGTAAACTGGTTGCTAGGCAACATCAGTATCACTTTCCAATCAAAAGCATTGAACTTTGTAAACCAGAAGTTAGTGTAGCATCACAGACGGCAGCGTAATGTGCAAAAATAATAACTGTTAGTGCTACAAACTACATTTAAACACAGCTGAACTGCTGTGATTCTAGGTGTGTGTGTGTGTGTGTGTGTGTGTGTGTGTGTGTGTGTGTGTGTGTGTGTGTGTGTGTGGTGTCTTTCATTGGTCCGAGGTGAATGACATCATGCTAGCCGTAACGAGGGCCTATACAGTCATTTAGTCCTTATTGGTTATAATGTTTTGTGATTATAAACAAGTCGATTACAGAGAGGCGGTGTGTGGATGCAGGTGTATCAGTGTACGGATGCTTTAACGTCCACGTAGTAAACACTTGTGTTATAATGAGGCCAACAGCTGCTTAAACAAGCCAACTCACCCCTGTGCTGACTAATGACAGCATGATTCTCTCGTTGAGCGCTAGAGTCTCCCCCTGCTTCATCTTGATCCTCTTCTTGTCCAAACACTTCATGGCGTACCTGACATTCAAACAAGAGACAGTGCACATTTACACACAGGTGGTCGCGGCGGGACCGGGTCCTCTAAAGCTTTTACTCTTTTCTGCTTCCTTACATTTTCCCCGTGTCGGCCTTCCTGCAGCCGTAC